GCCAGGCTCTGAAAACTGGGGTGGCATGACCCTGTAGCCACAGCATCTGGCTCTTTACAGCATTTAGCATTCCCAAATAATAGAAATTATCTAGTGTGCTTACCTGCCAGCCTCACAAGCAGGGACTCAGCTTCTAGAAAACCATCTCCTACAAGAGTCTTGGATATAAAGTTAGTTGGTTCATGAGAAATATTTGTTGGAATGAGGTGATAGCTTAGTTGGTAAAGTGCTGGCCACACAAACATGAGTATCTAACTTTAATCCAAAAAAGAAGCTGAGTTGAAACAAACAAACAATTGGGTGCGGTGATTCATGTTTGTAATTCCCGTGGGGCTCTGGGGAGGCAGAGACAGGTGCATCTCTGGGGCTCACTGGCTACCCTGTCTAGCCTAATTGATGAGCTTGTAGCCACTGAGAGGCACTGTTTCAAAAGAAAAAATTAGACAGTGCCTGAGGAATCACACACACACACACACACACACACACACACACAGATACACACACACAGATACACACACAGATACACACACACAGACAGACATAGACACACACACACAGACATACACACAGACACACAGACACAGACACACACACACACACACACACACTCACACTCACACACACACAGAGCATGGTCCATTTGGCAGAGAAGTTTGATATAGTTCTCTATTAATTATATTACCTAGGAACAGATAATCTAATCACAGCCATAGGTTTCAGTGGCTTGGTAGCCTGTTTCAAGTTTTTTGTTTTGTTTTATTTCTTTCTCTTCCAAACAGAGAGGCCAGTGTTCTATGTTATTCAGATCTGTGAGAGGATTCCTGTAGGAGGCAGAGGCTGGGAGACTTGCCTAAGGTTACCAAACAGTACCTGATGACAAACTAACATGTCACTAACATTCTGAAAGATTTGCATATTTCTCTATCACTATATTGTTCTAATCTCACCATAGGAAATCATTCTGGTATTATGCCTAATGGAGTTGTTACACTTTGCGTAATTTACAACCCTTAATTTTACTGCAAAGGGAATCAAATCTAAGAAAGGCTGGATATCTTGCCTTGTTAGACTTTAATAGAGCTAAGATACTGTTTTTAGCAGTCAGAGTCTCTTCTAATATTTGATTTTAGGCACATGTTCTAAAAATGACAGTTGGATATGGTCTAGAGACTAGCTGTTAAAATTGTAAAGCAACTCATGACACATGTTTAACTGAATAAAATTATTTTCCCCAGCTCATGCCATGCTGACAGTTTGCAAAAACCATCTTCACCTTCCTCCTTGCCTCATAAAAAGGGGCTGCAGCTATTTTTAAGCCCAAGGTTTGTAGACAGGAATGTAGATTATAAATCTCAGTTAGTTGAATTTATTCAGGAATTTGTCACGCTAACTACGAACACACTAAATATGACTCTGAGTCCAAGTAAAAGAAAAATTAGATATTGATATCTAAATTTCTCTCCCTATCTCTCTTCCCCTTTTCTCTTCCCCCCCTTTCTCCTCTCCCCTCCTCTGACTCCTTCCCTTTCTTCCTCTGACGCCACCCCTTCGGATTTTTCCTTGACAAGTGGCAGAGCAAAAAGGAAAAGCCTGGAGTTTCTTGTTCTAGTTTAAGGCAGTGGCTACCCTGACATAAGAGTAGCATCTTCCGTAAATCTCTTTTGCAATATTGTTTACCAGCAAAATAAGTCGAAGTCAAAACAAGTATCAGGGCAAAGAAAGCCACCAGTCTATATAACAAAATACTTTTCAAACTTGAACAAATGAGTGGGCTGTTTGAAACAAACTCCAAATGGAGGGACATTTACATTAGCTCTTCTGGAGGTAACAAGATACAGTGTTATATACTACTGCCTTTCTGTTTAGGTCTCTTAGAGGATGTTTACGAAGGCAGGCAGTAGTGGCCCAGTCTTTAATCCCAGCACTCAGGAGGCAGAGGCAGGCAGATCCCTGTGAGTTGGAGGCCAGCCTGTTCTACAAAGCAAGTTCCAAGACAGCAAGGGTTGTTACACAGAGAAGTCCTGCCTCAAAAAACCAAAAAGAAAAAAAAAAGAATAACAATAGGATGTGTATGAATGCTGTATCTTTTTTTATAACTTCAGTATAAATATTCACTATTTTCACCTTTCTGTCCTGATAAAATAATGAAAAGATTCTAACAAAATGCCTTTATAGGTTCCACGGTATAGTTAGTGAACAAGTAGTAACAAGTGTCACTTTTTTAAATGTTATGGAATGAAAGCAACTTAAACAAAAAAGTCTTTTGGGCCTAGTCACAATCACGCAAAGATTGAGAAATTTCTACAGTGATAACCCTATCTGCAGGTCAACTTTGTGCTCTACGTCCATTCCACGATTAATAGAAAGCCTACTAGTTGTGTAATGTTAGCACACATCACCATATCACACTCTCACTTGATGACACACATTGATGACGCCACGACTGACTAGCTTGTGTCGTCTGAAGCAGGAGGCTTCATCACCTGCCGCCACTAGATGGTGCTTGTCATTGAAACAAAGCTTCATCAGGATTGTTTTCTGATTAGAACCATGGATGGATGAGAAACTTGCCTAATAAACGAACTAGTAAACGGTAAGTCTGGAGGGCTACAAAGCATAGGGAATTACTGGCCAGGAAGCAAACAAAGCATTACCAGTTAAGAGTATACTCATCCCGCCAATCTTCGTGTTTTCTTCTGGGTAGTCAACTCTGACCTTGCTCCTGGTAGGTAGGCATTCTACTGCTGAGCTGAAGCCCGGTCACCCCCTCTCCCTCCGCACTTGCGCTCAAACTTGTACTCCCCCTGCTCCCCCTTTGGGATTACAGGTGTGTGCTCCCAAGTCCAGCTTTTCTGTCCATTCCTTTCATCCTCAAACTTTGTGAATCACAAGATGAAAAGAACAAATGAATCTTTCTTTGGTTTCTGAGGAGCAAAGGCACACATTTTAGGACAGGTGTGTGTGTGTGTGTGTGTGTGTGTGTGTGTGTGTGTGTGTGTGTGTGTGTGTGTCTCGGGGGCAGAGGTCCTTAGTATTTATTGTCCTCACTCAAAATGGCAAAAGCAAAGGTGGCCACACACAGAGTTAACAAAAAGTTAATCATGACCTTTCCAAAGGAGAGCACACGGATCTCAATTACTGGACTATAATCAATAGGAGAGGAAATGGAACATGCCTTTTTAATTGTGGGACGGCAAACACCAAGTCGAGAGTGATAACAGGGCTAGTGGGCCGTCTGCCAATTCTTTTCTCATTAATTTAAGACACACACCAAATCTCACCCCACAGTACTCTCATTCTCTCCTGGCACCCCCACCCTGCTCTACACCCCCTTTCAGGACGAATTCTTGCCAATCTTGATATTAAAATGCCTCCAGGGGTTACCTATCAATTTGCACGAAGGGCATTTTGACATGTTTTGCAGTCAAGTACATGGAAAATGTGTTTCTTGGACTTTTTCTTTCTCAGACAGTCACCAAAGCTGACTATTCATGGCTGGTTCACGACTATAATGAGAAATTGCCAGCTATGTTGAAATACATAATCCACAGCGGGAAAAACTGCTGATCAGCGGTGGCAAATTCTTAATACAAAAGTGATTTCTTTTTGCTCATGAGCTTTGGGTTGCTGATTCTTGCTGTGTGTTTAGGAGGGACAGTTAGTCTAGAGACAAAACATAGTTACTCAGGGGAGAGATTTAAAGGTCACGTTTTGTTTTCCCCCTCACTGCTGAATTGCCCCTATCACTACAGTAGGTTATGGAGAATGTGTGAACATGAAAGCAAGCCAGATATGACAGCAGCCAAACACATGACACTAGTGCATTTAATTTCAGACATTAGGCAACTTGGGGTGGTTCCCAGCGCTTGCTGAGTGTTGAGTAAGGATTTTACACACACCAACTTTCCCCAAACACAAGCTCTGTATTTGCTTCTCCAACCCCCAGGGGTGGGAGGTGGGGGGGGGGAGATGCTGCCATGGACCTTCTCCAGTTCTAGATACTGAAAAGAAAAAAAAGTGCCTCTGCCATTAATTCTATTTCCCCTTCTACCCCCAATGGCCCCCTCTCTGGCATCTTATTACCTATCCTGGAGGAAGCCAGAGTCAGGATGTGAGGTGACTGCTCTTGGTTCCATGTGTTTGGGTGACTATGTGGAAGTTGGAGCAGTGACTTTCACATATTATATGCAAGAACAGGAAACGCAGATATGCTTGCACACACACAGTCCATTAAATGGCCACTCTGTAGTAGTCTTCAGAACTTTAGATGGTGTCTATGTTGGCATCTGCTCACACATTAAAGGTTTTTGTTTTTTTTTCTTTTCTGATCACAACAGTGCTGGGCCACTGATTGACATACTGTGGTTTGCTTGGCAAAGTATACTTAATTAACTTGAGCAGCATAGTAAATATGAAGGACCACTTTGCAAACTCAAGAACCCACCTTGGATGGCTAAGGGTGTTTCCCTAACTCCAGATAGAAGCCACCAGTGACATAATGAAAGGCAAGGAGGAGGTCCACGGTGTTCCCAGACATCTTTTGCCAATAAAGATGTATGGTGACTTAACACTGAGGGCTGGCAGCACTTTCTTCACCAAAGTGCCCCAAGTTTTGTAAAGTAGCATCCAGAATGATCTGGGCTGGGAAACGCATGCAACTTTCAGGTTCTCCCCAGTGGGGGAACTGAGGCCAGCCGGATGAAACGCTGAACGTAGCAACCCGCTGACTCTGGACTTGAGAGGAGCAAGGCGAGGTGAGGCCTTGGGGTCTAGAGCCAGATCACCCCCGCCCCCTCCAGTCCCAGGCAGGCGTGGCGTGCTGAGCCCCCAGCGGGGGCGGCGCGGCTCGAGGCCCCTCCCCGCCGCCGAAGCCGGGGCGACTGACGCCGAGTGGCGGCCGGGAGCCGAGGGGGCCGGGCGGGCGTGAGCGAGGGCAGGGCAGGGGGCCGGCCGAGGCCACTCGCCGCTTTAAATATGGATCGCGGGCTCGCGCTCGCCGTAGCGCTTCGGCCGCCCAGCCCATCCCCGAGCCCGGCAGCGGCTGCAGCGTCGGTTCTCGGCAGGCACACGGCGAGCCGGGCGCACACGCGGGAGCTGCGGGAGGCAGAGTAGAGTGGAGCCGCCCCGTTGTCGCCGCTCCCTCCCCGAGGCCGGCACCTCCGATCGGCGTCGCTGCTCCGTCCTCGCCGGGCCGACCCTCCCGCGGCTGCCCTCGCTCCTCGGTCGCCTCCCCGGGCGCAGCGCGCACCCACCCGGCGCCAAAGTTGCGACTGCTGCCCCGCGCGCGCTGCGAGCGGCGGCCGCGCCAACTTCCCAGCCCACGCCGCCCGGGTCCCCGCGGTCCCCCGCCTCCAGCCCCGGCGGCGCGCGGGGCAGAGCTTAGGTGGCGGCGGCGGCCGAGGTGGCGGCGAAAGCGGCGGCGGCAGCGGCGGCGGCGGCCGCTGCAGCCTCACACTCAGTCGCCAAGCTGGAGGAGCGACGGAAGCCCGACCCCAGGAGGTGAGTGGCCGGAGCGGTGGCGGGCTGGGTCGGCCACGTCCCCAAGCCTCGCCCGCGCGGTGGGCACTGGGTGGCGGGCGCGGGCCCCGGGGCTGGTCCGGCAGGGCGCTCTGACGGCCTCTGCGCGTCCAGGGAGGGACGCAGAGAGAGAGGTCAGTGGCGGGCCGGGCATCCCCTGGGCTGGGCGCCCGCGAAGTGTGGACGTTGCTGCTGCAGCTGCGGAAAAAGTACTTTTTATTCCGTCTTAGCGTTCAGATGACGAGTTTGGGTGGTTCTGTTTTCCCCCTGCTGCATAGCCGCCTGCACGTAACCGGGCGTTGTTGCCACGGGGCTAGTGGACGCCCCGGCTAGGCTCAGGAGCAGTGACACTTGTGTTCCCTGGAGCCCGGTGGGCATAGCGTGACTGGTAACCTGCCTGAGGGGGGACACACCCCCGGATCTTTAAGGTTGGGGGAAATAGTGCCATCGAGGCCGCGGTCCCCATTCCTCTGTCTGCTCCAGGACCGGGCACTCACATCTCTCCCTGGCACGCCGGAGGTGGGGGTGAGTCAGGCAGATTGTCTGCAAGAGACACACACATTTATTTGCAAGGGGGAGACAGAGGTTAAACTGGGATTTCTGTTGGCTGGCGACAGCGGAGCTCTCGCTCAGGTACTGGGCAGCGTGTGCGTCTTGGCAAGGACAGGTGATTCCTTTCTTAAGTGCTTTTCTCTCAGCCTTTGCCAGTCTGTTCATAACAGCCACTGAGCGACAGCGGCTAACAGCAGCAAGCGCCATAAAGAGGAAAGTTCTCCGAGAAAAAAAAAAAAAAAAAGCGGGGAGGGGGGTTGGGGGGGCGGGAACCCAACTTGAGAAACGCCAAGGAAGCATTTCTGCTCTGGCTCTAGCAAGGTAGAGCACTTGTCGGTTCCCTGTAAACGTGTAGTTTTGCCTTCCCTCTCTCCCGGAGGCCCCACCTTCTTCTTAGCATGATTGCCTGCAGCAAGTTCTTCCAGTCTGTAGCCAAAGAGCTGAAAGCATGCTTCTCTCTTCCTTTCCACTCACCCTTCTCTCCCCTTTCACTTTAGTGCCAGACAAACTCGCTGCTAGTGAGAACTCCCTGACACAGGGCTACACTAACAGTGTCAAATCCTGGAAAGGCTCTTTCTTGAGGCGCCACACTACACAGGGCTTACCTATTCTTTATCGGGGACTTAGGGTTGCAATAGTATCTAAATTGAAGTGTATATCGCTCATTCGTGCTCATTTTCATTGTGATCTCAATACATTCTCTCTGGAAGCCAGACCAATACTGGATGGCTTAAAGACTCTTCAAAAAAAATGTTTCTAAGAACCCTAGACCTGTGCCTGTCACATTAGCATTAAATACTTTCCAGTTATTGCTGAACTTAGAGTGAAGTTATTTTTACTTCATTTAAAGGAAGTGTGCCTATTTTCTAAAGCTTTTCATAACTGACAAAAAACTTTTAGTTTCATTTTAAAGTTAAACCTAAATAGGATTGTGATCTCTTATGTTGTAAAATAGAATGGTTTTACCTTTAGCTCCGAATGTAGGCAAGATGACACAAAACTTCCCTACATAGGTAGGACGGGAAACTTACCATGGCTGTGAGTTCTTGGAGCATAGGGCATTTGTAAAGATGGGATGATGGATAGAAAATGGGATATTTTGGTAGTGCTAGGTATATTTGAGAAAGCGGAAACCCTCAACCCTTTGTATTAGTTTTGCAGTATGAAAATTGCAGTGTCATTTTTCTGTCTTGAGGCTTTTTTTAAGATTTAAAAACATATACAGAGGGTGTGAGCCTTTCAGGTGGTCAAAAGTATACTCAACTTATTGACGTATGTCAACATAAAAAAAGCTTGCAGTGTTTGCACGCAAGTGCCACTATTTTAAATGATTAGAAGACATTTGGATTTACAGAAATATTGTATACAAGGAAGACAGGCAAATGTAGTAGAGGAAAAACATGGTAGGAAGCTGACAACCTTTGAGACATCTCCCAGCACACCCTGGTAGTAGTCTCATTTTCCACTGAACTCCGTGGAGGGCAACTGCAAGATTGTGATCTCTTGTTCTGATAACACGCATGATAGTCTGGCCGTAGCTCACATCTTAAAGGAAAACACAGTACTTAAAGGAGGAAAAGAAACACACATTAGCTGGTGAATCCTTGTAGATAATCAGGTTTCCCGCTGGCCTCTGAGGGCACTGCAGTTCATGAGGGCTGCTATGGTTAAGGGATCCATCCAGTCCTGGGAGAAGTCACTGCTGCTGAAGTGTGGCAAGGACGTTCCATCAGCTTGTTCCGTGGCATTCATTTTAGACAGTAGGAATAAAGACCAAGTCTGGATTTGATGCACAGTCAGGTCTGGATGGGAAAGAATAAGTGGGGAACAGGAAAATCTAATGGTGATTAAAGTTTCCAAGTATTTTTTTAAATTGCAAAATAGAAGGAACCAGTATACACCACTGATTAGCCAGAGGGAGCCTCAAGCAGAATACATATCTTACCTGATGTTGTTTTTCGGCACAACTTAAGACCCAGGAAATTTGTTATTAATGGAGTCCCCTAGCAAAAGAGCAGTTAAAGAATATCCAGGAATGAAATATGACTTTACCAAACTAGATATTACTACTTTTCCATATAAAAATTTTAGGGGAGAAATATTATTTCTTTGATATAAGGTCAGGGGTAAGTTGTATACAAATAATTTTTACCTAACTCTCAGCATTTACACACTGGGCACATTTTTGTTATGAACACTTGTGTCCTAACTTGAAGGTATTTCATGTACTCACCATCCATGTCTGTGACTATTTTTCCAGCCACAGATGTGGATAATCTTTTACACAGCACTGTCTAATCCTCATATTTATACAAGAGAACATACACATTCAGAGGTTGCCCACTTTCTTTTATCTTAAGCCACATTTACTGCTATTCTAATGACTGGTCCCCGCAGTGCAATGGCAATTAAGGCACCCAAAGGAGGGGGAAGGGATGAATGATGGTGCCTTTATTTATTTGCTATGAAAGAAAGTGGGAAAATGTTTTTTTCTAATCTTCTATACGATGCTCACAGTGGTGTTTTCCTTAGTAATGATGCCTTTATCGCCTCTGAATTAGCGATGTATTAAAGATGGCAATAGAATAGTCATGATAGTAATAGTGAAACCACCTTCATCTGTTGCTTGTGGGAATCAAACATGGTCATCTTCCCTGAGAATCAAGCAGATGTAAGGGTAAGTTATTTTGCTTATTTGGAAGACCGGAAAACCAAAACAGAGAACTTTACTTAGAAAAAAAATATCCTGGGAAGTTATTGGAGGTGGCTGGAATGTTGTATCTGTAAATGCTGCTACATCTTCATCAAATGACAGTGATGAAGGGGAGTGAGTGTTATTGTAGTCACACAGCAAGAGAGCAAAGCAGATGAAAGTTCATTCTGCTAATACGAGGTTCTTCATAGCTTCCTGGCAATCCCACAGCAGCAGTGTCCACTTGCCTCAACTTTGAGGTTCTGGATTCAGCAATGCTAGAGGTGTTGTCCCCGAGGGTTTTAAGTTTGGGGTGTGTCGGTTTTAGCTTCAGTCTTGGGATCTAAGTTTATTTTCGTGTAGAATCTATACAGAAGTAAGTTACATGAAGTTAAAACTTTGAATGGTGTAGGTAATCAACAACTGACATCTTTAGCTGATTTTCTTCTTGCTTTTTGAATTTGTATTAGAAAGCTTAAAGAAAGTTCTGGATAGAATTGTGTGGTGCTTTTGGGAGGCATTGAAATAAAACAACCAGAAATGCAAAAGGAGCAAGGGCTACACTGTGTTGAAACCTGTTCTTTTGTTGGGTGACATAAATAGAAAAGCTTTTCCTAATGTCATGAATAGGAAGTTGGGTGCTCTTTTTGCTTTGGTAACTATCCTCCTTGATGAATAGCCTGCTCTTTACTATTTTGTGAGTAAACTTGAAGAGTCTGGACTATTACTGAGTTCTACCTTTGCTTTGGAGATATAGTGATTGATGGAATCTAGTAATATAGTCGTCCACTTGGCTTGTGGCATGTTTTCTCGCCAGAAAGGCTCTGAGCAGTCAGAGAGAAGATAGACATTAAAGAGGGCTCTGTCTCTCGGGAGATCCCTTAGAGTCTGCAGATGTGAAACACATTTGAGTTATTGTCATAAGACCTCTGATATCACAGCCAACAGTAAAGACAGTAGAAGGCAGAGATGGGCTGACAGTGATAGGCATATGGAAAGTGCTGAACCCAGTGATGGACAGCCTCTTAGGAAGAGGTGGACAAGAGGCCACAAGCAGAACTGAGGAACTGAGGGATAGAACCTGGGGCTTGCTAGCGTCAAGTAGAGCAACCCCTACCTCTCTTCTTCTTTCCTCAATTCTCTTTCCCCTTCCTACTGCCTCATCCATTTAGGCTTTTACTGAGGTGCAACGATGTCAGAAATGTCATTAAAATATCAGTAGACAGCTCAGTAATCTGTTGAGCGAATGCGTCTGTGTAGGCAGTGCCCACATCAGGATGCAAGCCTATGGTAGTTCCCTCCACTGGAAGCTGCTGCCTCCCTCTAGTAGCTTCTCCCGTCTGAGGCTGTAGGTGGCTTCCACCTGTTACTTAACGGTCCGTGAGTCAGTCATATGGTGCATGCTTGTGCACCTGACCCCTTTTGCTAACTGCTATGTTTAAGAGATTCTTTCTTGATTTGTGGGTAGCAAGTTTGTTTATTCTCATTGTCCTAAGGAGTTTTGCTTTTGGGGAATGGCACAGCACATTTATGTGTTTCATTCTTGATGGATACTTGGGTTGTTTTCTGTATTGTCTGTTACGAACTGTACTGATGTGGGTGTTCCTGAGTACATCTTTTAGAAAATATGGAGAACGAATTAGTGTGTGTTGAGTTCAGTTGTTAGGTTTGGTTTAGTAGATGGCGTTTTCCCCCGAAGTTGATACAGACTCATCCTCCTACTCGCATTGAATGAAAG